GCGGTCGGGGGGGTCTGGACTCACCTGGAAAAGCAGTGAGCAGCAGTCAGGACCCACATGTTGTTGATCAGGGACCCCCCACAGAAGTGGGAACCCCTCCGTTGTAGGCTGGCCTGCCAGGGCCAGGACCCGGCGGGGGCATCCTCCCCCCCCACGATCCTGCTGTCGCCCTTCGTGTTGAGCGGCGCCGTGCCGCAAACTGCAGGAAAACGCATTTAAATTACAAACTGCAGGAAAACGCAGGCAAATGAAGACGGCCTGATTTGTTTAGGAGACGTTACCGCAGTAAAAACAGAGTCCCGACTGTTTTTTCTGTCTGTTTGGGGCTGAAAACCAGCTGCATGCTTCCTGCTCTGCTGGTTAAACTCTGACAGAAACACCAACATCTCATCAAACCAGAGTCCAGAGAATCAGAGTTTCTCTTTTTTCCTCTAAAATCAGCTCTGGTTTCCTCCTAAAGACTCTGAAAGTCCTCTAACTTTATTCCAGAGCTGCAGAAAAACACTAAAATAAAGCAGAAAAACACTAAAATAAAGCAGAAAACCTCTAAATTAAGCAGAAAACCATAAAATAAAGCAGAAAAACACTAAATAAAGCATAAAAACTCCAGAAGCAGCTCTGGTTTCCTCCTAAAGACTCTGAAAGTCCTCTAACTTTATTCCAGAGCTGCAGAAAAAGCCAGAAAGCTTCTCCTCTGAACCTGAAACAGGTTTCCAGTCTCTTCTGAAGCTGTTTTTATTGTTGAACCCCCAAACAGACGTTCAGCTCCAGTTAAAGCTTTAAGCTCCTGTTTCTGATCAGTTCTTCCATCTAAAAGGACCCAAACGCTCCATTTAAGGAGCTTTTTCTGGATAAACACCAACATCTGAGCCTCTGGTCCAATCAGAGTCCAGAGAATGAGAGTTCTGCTGCTTTTCCTCCAGAATTCAGTTGTTTTCCATCTATCTATGAGCTTCTGATCAGAACCAGAGAGGAAACAACTCACAGTTTCTGCTTTTTGCCTCCAAACGCAAAACAAATAACACTGATTTATCTGATCTTATCTGTCAATAAACAGGTGAACAACAGGAAGTTTGACTCTAAACATAAAGAAAGTTAAGACTCTGGCAGGAATTTCTCCACGATGCCACATGAATAATAAATAATAGAATAGAAATATAATGCAAAATAATACAATAATGTATGTCAATAATACACAATGACAATATATGATAATAATAAAATTACACAAAGATATATATAAAAATGAAAATATCTGATGTGGTTTCTAAAATGTTGTGCATCATTTAATAGTAAAAACATCTAAATCATGCTGTAAACAGTCAGATAAACCTGATAACAGCAGACTGTAGGCAATCATTTTGACTTATTAAACAGTAATAAATATGAAAAAAAATATTAAACTTTTTTTTGTATCAGGCTTTAAAGGGTTATGGCAACAGCCTGATCATTAAGGAAACATTAATCTGTGTCAATAACCAGATAAACTCTCTTTTGTTTCCTTTTCAAACCTCAAATGAATAGTAATCTGTCAGGAATCTTGATGAAACTAAAGATAAGCATCTGACAACCACAAAAAAATTCCCGCAACTTCCTCCATGCTTCATATCTCAGAACAGATCAGCTTTGATTTTGTGGCGTGATTCTGACAGGTTTTGGGTCGTTTTTCTGGTAAAAAAAAGAGTGAAATGTGCCTCTTCCCAAGAAAATTCTTTGTCCTTTATGACCATTATTGCAAGGAGGATGATTCTTCTTAAATGGAAATCACCACAACCTCCTTCTTTCATACTTTGGTTGAGGGATATTGTTTATTTTCTTAAACTTGAAAAAATTAGGATGTCACTACGGGGTTTGCAGAAATCTGGCAGCCATTACGACGAATGGTTGGTCAAGTTAATTTTTATTCTGTCCCAGTCTAGTCCTTCGTGTATATATATATATATATATATATATATATCGTGTGTATATATATATATATATTTGTTTGCTCATCCTCTGTCCTTTTTCTCGGATTTTCCTTTTCTTCTGGTTCCGTATTTACTTTCCTGGGCACAAACTGTACTTTTTATTTATTTATTTTTTTTTATTTTTTATTTTTATTTATTTATTTATTTTTTAGGTGTAGCAGAATGCATCTTAATTTTTATCTATTTCAAAACTTTTTTTTGTGCGTGTGTCCTTTTTTCTTATGACTTTTTCTTACAGCCTGGGAGTGATTGGCGGTGGTTTTGTTGTGTTTTTTGTTTTGTTTTTATAACCCAAGGTAATTGTAAGGTTTGTTTTATATGCATCACATTGTAAATGTATGGCTATGCAATTCTTGTTAAAAACCAAATAAACAGAACGCACTTTCATAGATATAAGCTCATTGGCTGCAAAAAAAATGGATTGCTTTGACTTGGAAAAATATCAATAGACCTAATGTCACGCAGTGGTTAAAACAGATGTCGTCTAATTTGCCGCTAGAAAGAATAACATATATTAGGAAATCCAAAAGGTATCTTTTCGAGAGGATTTGGGGGCCTTTCATTATTTTATTAAGGACTTAGACTTTGAGTTCTGATTTGCCAGAACCTGTGCTGTGCCATGTTGTATAGATGTGTATTATTATATCTGACCAATTTGTAATCTGTGTGAATACCCCAGTTTTTGAGAAGCTGTGTTTTTTTGTTTTGTTTTTTACTTTTTCTTCTTATTATTATCATAATTATTTTTTTTATTTTTTTTTTGGTTGTTGTATTTTATCTCTCTGGGTTGAGTAAAATAATTACTGTCATGTAATGACCACAAAGAGAACCTGTTCATGCTTGTATTTCCAAAGTGTAAAAATATGTGTAAAATAAAGTGTAAAAATATGTTGGTAAAAAAATAATAATAATAATAAATAAAAAAATAAAAAAATAAATAAATAAATAAATAAACAAAGTTTGAAAAAAAAAGAAAAAAGAGTGAAATGTGAGGAGAAACTCACCGTCCAGCTGCGCCCGGCTTCCTGTGGGAGGAGAGAAGCAGAGAGAGACGATTAGACTCGTTT